ATATTCAAATGAATTCATGTATGAGGTGAACGAAGCAATAGAACGCTGAAGAGACAAAGACGTCATCTCATGTGTGATCGTCGACACGTTCGTGGACCATAAACAATATCAATTTTTTATTTCTATTAACGATTCTATTATATCGTCGAAATTTCAGTCGAAGAACGGTTTATTGTTTTTTTAATTGATGATGAATCGAAAATGGTCAGACAATAGACATTTTAAAATATTTACCATGCAAACTGATAACGATATTTTAACGATTGCACATGCAAATAAGTGTCACACAGATTTATGCATATAATGGATCTATCCAGTCTATTCATTTTAAATGCAAAAAAAACACAGACTATGGCTTATTTATTTTTTGATAGCTATTTTGATCACCAAAATCATTGTATAGTTTGATTATGAACCGCAAAAACATAAAAAGATATAAAAAAAACTTTGCGCAAATCCATTAGTTCAAAACTTTGCTTATAAATTAATTTCCTTGAATTCGATGCTGAAAAAAATGCTGGAACATTTCTTTAGAATAGCGTTAATTAGCTTGGCACAAAGCTGAATTGTTTAACAACAACAACAAAAAACTCGGGCACAGTTTAACATTCCAACTGCAAGTTGTGAACTAGCGATTGAGAGAAAGAGCGAAAAAATCCACGAGTTTAAACATTTAATTCGTAGAAATGTTCTGAAAACTGGCATCTCTTTAATTATGCGATCTGCTTTTTTGTGAGTAGTTGGTTTTTTTTCTCTCGTTTCAATTCATTTTCGATGTGCACAAGCGAGTGTGTTTTTGTTTGCGTTTGTTGCGATTTCGATTATGGTTTTTTCTTCACTCTTCGAACCAATGTTCAATATCGTTCTTGTCTTGTAAACCATGTAAAGGCTCTCCGGTTGATGTGCACACAAATTTTTCACAATTCGCTTATTATTCGCCACATATTCGTTTAATTTGTTTTGGTGCGCTTGCCCCGTTCTCTCTCTCTATGTTTTTTTAATTTGAGAACCCATCGGAAAATTGCTAACAAATTTCAGCATGGTATCCAGTGCGAATGTATCGCGATGTGAAAAAGAAAAGAATCGTGACGCGCGATAATTTTTTCCTTGATTTGGTCGGTTCAGTTGTCGTTTTCACAGTGCACCAGTATATGTGAGAAAAGTTAAGCGCGCTTTGCATTCGACACAGCCAAAACACCGAGAACCAGAACATTTGAGAAGACGACGACGACAACGACGAATCAATATGGGTAAATAGTTGTTTATGTTATGCCATATTTACCAATGTCTATCTACAGTTGTAACTTCGGAATTGCATTGCTCGGCATCGAGAGAAAAGACACCATGAAAACTGTAATGCACACACAAAAACAGTATAGAACATTGTATGCGGCCGTGGCGATGCGGTATCTTGGCGCCAAAATTTTTGATACAAACGAACCGATAAATTTTTACAAATCCTGAATGTGTTTGGCAAGTAGCACGCAGCCAATTTCAATCGCGCACGCCTTTCGCCATAAACTGGAATCGGTTGAAACAGTGAAGAGATTTTAAAATTAAATTTATTAATTAAATATGCGAATTTGCGTCAGATACGGACGGCCACATGCAGATCATATCGAAAACAGAAGCGCGTGGGAAAACAGAATGTAATTATTCGTCACCGCAAAAATGCTTAAGGAAATACTTTATGGGTGAATTTTATCATGAATTTTAAAAAGATGATAATCAATTTTTTTTTTAATTTTGTAAATAAACTAATATTTTACGTCAATCTGTTCTTAATTTATGCATTAATTCTTCTTTGATGAGCGAAACAAAAATATGTTCGACACATTGAGTTTGTGTACGCATTAAATACTTGAATTTTCTGCAATAATTTATGTGATCGTTATTCATTACCACATTATAACTGGCACGCACCGAATACTTTGCCTCCGCATCATATGGCAACCAACGCTCTTTCTTAGCCGATTGTGGCGCAAGAAAAATATCAAATCGTGTTGAAAATAATTTGAAGATTTATAAAAAACAAAGTTGAATTGAAATTGGACTAAAACATTTTCATTTTCATTGCATACAAAACGGCATAAATCACTCACTTTACTGGCGAATAGACAAACAAACTTTTGGAAAGTGTAAAAAAAAAAATATATGTTTTTGATTTTGTATTTCATGCAACATTTGGAAACTGCGTAAACAATCAACGAAAAATGAATAACACGCATCAACAAAAAAAAATGTTTCGGGGGAAAAGATTAAATATAGAAACATATCATCGTTTCTATCATATTCGTTTGGTATGTTCTTGTGGCATGTCTGTTTCAACTCATATAGTCATAAATAAAAACCAATAATATTCATGTGTATATATTTTTACCGCGTTCTCACTTCGGATCATCCGTAGCGCATACCTAGAGCCATGCTCATTCCCTGAATTTCACTGACTAATTGATTAATTATAATTAGATATGTGCGGTCGTTGTTTTCTTATACTCACTGCTTTTCGATTCACTTTATCGTTACGATAAATTCGTTCATATTTTGTGTATTTTTCTTTTCTTCTTGTCTCGTTGACTCGAATCATACGACTTTTTACACTTTGATTGTGGGAATGTTTATAATAAAGATGAATGGGATTGTTGAAGACTGCATTGCCAAACGAAAACCACACATCAATTTTGCCGTTTAACGCACATTCCGATATGAGAAAGTACTATATTTGCATCTTGAAAGACAGAGAAACCATCTCTGACCACGAATATTTACGGTGATATCGATCAGCACCTCTTTCGACGTGAGAAAATTTTTGATTCTTTTTATTTTTGGTGAATCGTTTTGAACTTTGTATTATTTTGGCGTCAGAAAGAAACATGAAAAAAAAAAAACAAACGAGATAAAGTACAATTCCCAACAAGCGGCGTACTGAAAATCATAATAGTCAAAAGCCATTTGAAATGTCAAAGGCGTTACAATTTACAATTGTGTGTGCAATGCCATCGACGCTTGTACATAATTCAGGCGGAATATTTTGTTTGTCATTTTCATATGAAAATTGTTGATGAAACAAAAAACCGCATCGTCATACGATAAATGCAAGTATCTATTATATCATTTGATGTCATGCAATAAATTCAAATGACAAAAAAAGCATTTTCAAGTGTTTGTAGTCGTAAATTTTCCTGTAAATATTCAAAAACACTTCTGGTTGAGGGTTTTTTTGTCATTTCTCGATGACGTCAAATTAAGGCCTGCCATATAAAATCGCACAAATGTGAAAAACTTGCGGTAAAATTGAATGAAATGTAAATTTTTAATCGCAATTTGAATGTACAGAACAAAGGAGTCATATATACCATAGGGTATTATGAAAGGACAAAAATACTCCAATGAAAAAAAAAATTCGCGCATTTGCTGGGCTACAGAATATTTACTTGCGACATGTCACAATTATAAATTATTTGATGCATGCTGTATTCTGTATATATAGGCCGGAAAAACGATAACTATTTCACATCACAAAACTGCATAAGCAAGTGAGCACACACACAACAAATTATAAAATATGATATTTACAGAAAACGAGCATCAAATCAAAAATTATAATTAAATTTGCCATACAAAAGACCGTGTTCGTAAATTAATTTTAATATATGTCGTGAAACGGGAATTGCTTTGTGAACTAGCCGATGCAAGAGCAGCATATAAGAGAGTGAAAAGTCAATAAGCTGAAGAGAAATGTGTCTACAGACGTGTAATGCACAGATTCTCCCCTTCATTTCGTTCGGTGGTTTTTTGTGTATAGAAATGGCAATCAATTTCAACTAGTGCAGAGGTCTATGTTTGTTTGCCGCTCGAAGATCATTTAAAAGACGTTCACCTATTTTATTATTTATTTGGATTGCAACGACGAATACACACACCGACACACGCCAAAACATACATTTCACTATTTTGGCATGTTTGTTTGTTGTGTCGACATCATCGACATCGTTTTACAGTTGCTCATTGCCACCATTGTCATCGAAAGCGGTGCTAGCGTGTGTGCGCGTTCATTCTTTGACACATGCCACGAGTGCCACTTGTGTTTTTGCAGACTCACAGAGAGATCGAGAGACAGTTATTAAAAGATTTATAAATTTTCGTTTCGCATTCTCATTCCCTTTCCATGTCTTGCTATGCACGTTTTTCTCCATTTTACGCACATTTTTCACGTTTGTCTGGCAATTACAGACGTTTAATCGCCTCACCATCTTTCATCCCACAAATATGATAAATTCTTAGCTGATAGTCAAACAAACATGCAAATTCTTGCTCTCAATCAAACAGCACTGGAATATAGCGAAATTCAGAACAAGGAAGTGTCAACTGAAAACATGCATTTTGTGCCAAATTTTTTCGGTTTTTTTTTCTTCTTCTTCAAACAGTTAATGTATTTTGATTATTCCTTTCTTTATTTTCCAGTGTCAATTCTTTATGTCGCACATACTTTTCGAAGATGTGTTTTTCGGGTTTTTCTTCTCATGATTTCCTTTATTCTGCGACGAACATTGATCTCATCGTCGCGAAAAAAAAAATTATTCTTTAATCTTTGCTTTTGTAAATGTCGTGTTAATTATGCCAAATGAATAATAAAGAGACTAAAGATATCCGAGAAGAAAGAAAAATTGTCGTTTGTCCTTCTGACGACTGCAACTTACCTTTGTTTTGACAGTTGAATTTATTCGTCTTTAATAAACCAAATCAAATCGAAAAGAACGACACATGATTTTCATTTTCATACAGTGTTTTCTCCGTGATATCTGCTTTTTATTTTCTCTAGCTTATTTTCACACTTATACATTTAAATATATACTATATAGATCGTTAATCAGCTAATTTAAAATATGCAATTTATTGTGATCGGTTAGCTATCTTAAGTTGTATTTGTTGTACTTGATTCCTGTGACATGTCCTTGATATTGTTGTTATTTCGAATGAAATGTGATTTGTTGTTTGTATTTTTTTTTTTTTTTGAAAAATGCGATATGATTGATTTTATTTTCGATGATGATTGAAACATTTCTATTTCATTGTCATTGTCGTCCACCTTGTTCTCTTCATTCTTGTCATATAAATAAGATTTGTTCTATTTGTTTTTCATCGAACCGTTATCGATGTGGTCGTTAAACATTTGAAATGGTAAGTGTGCTAGCCCAAATAAATTACGATGTAACGATGATTGTTCGTCATTATTTTTTAGAATGTCGGCTGTGAATTCTCTCATGTTTGACGCATATTTTTGATACAAATTGGCTTCATGTAACTAGAAAAACAAAGCAAACAAACAAAAAATACAAAACATCTCATTTTATGATGATGAGCGTTGAAATTCGCTACGACAACTCTAAATTTAGAATGACAAAGGAGCGAGAGTGAGTGAGAGAAAAAAAAGTGTCGAGACTTACCTTTTGCTGTAGAGCGGCTGCGTTTGCAATAAATGGGTTAAAAAGATCAGCCGGCCGGTGAAGAGCGTATGGACTCATCGATGGAAAATGATTTGGCATGTCAAGCGACATTCGATGGTTTCGATTTGGTTCATTTGGCCAAGAATGCGCCTGCATATGAACCTAATTCAATTAAAAAAGTTCAATGACTGTAACCGTTTTGACATTTTTCTCACACAGTACACAGAATTTATACAGAAACTGAAAAAAAGGTCACAAAGTAGCAGTAATAGTTACCTTTAAATTGCCTTTGGTCGAAAATGATTTTTCGCATATTATGCAGGTGAATGGTTTTTGGCCAGTATGTGATCGTATATGAGTTTCGAGTGCTGAAGCTGATCCAAAGTGTTTGCTACATAATTTGCAATAGTCTCGATATGAATCTTTAATTTTCGTTTTTCGTGCGATTCCATTATGGATTTCCGTTTGAGAATCGTTTTTCGTTTTTGTCGGAATGTTTGTCTCGCATGTATCGCTTTTAATTTTATCATTATCGTCGACGCCAATTTCAATTGTCTCATTTTCATCGTTTTTCATTTGAATGGGCGATGACATTGAGCCTGAATCATCCGATGATAAGTACGTTGGATTGCTTTGATCAGCAACAGTGACAGCATCAGCGTTCTTGTCAAAATCATTGTAGTCTTTTTCATGTGTGGACGCCTTTAATTGGCGATTCTCGTTAACTGTGTCATCGAGATTGTGTGCAGTTTCAGCTGGTTGGGTATCGTTCTGCTGCTGTTGCTGTTGCTGTTGCGATTGGAAGCCAGAGACTGACAGTGAATTGTTGCTATCCGATGATGGTGATTGTGTGGAATTTCGGAACACATGTTGCGGCATATCCCGAATTTTGTGTGTCAACATGTGTTGTTTCATATTACCCTAATCGAAGAAATGAACAGACGGGAGAAATGATATTGAATTGAAGACGAGCAACGATCAAAAACCATTTGGAAATGAATGTGAAACAACGCCAAAATGGCTATTGTCGGCCACATTTTTAATATATATGATATGTGACAGCAGAAGAAATAAATAGAATAGAAGCCAACGAAGCCATAAATAAATAAAAAAGAAAACAACAACAACAACAAACGAAAATAAAATAATTGTAAAATATTGGTGCTCAGTTTTTGAGTTGCTTTTATAATCACTTTCTCATTTGTTTGGCAGAACCATTTTCAAGATGAATTACATCGCACGAGCATCGACGACAATCTTTCTGTTCAGCTAGATGCGTAGACTGAAAATGTATTGCAAGGGAGCGTGCGCGAGTCTGCTCACAGGCAATTTATTAAACATTTCAAAAAACAATGTCAAAATTCAACCGACGACGACGACGACGACAAAACCAAGAATTTTACGCTATGATACATCGCAGACAGTAACTCGTCGTGCTTCGCGTAAAAACACATTATTCGTTTTATTTCGTTATTAGACAGTATACCGTTTGTGTATGCATAATAATGTTTTGTGGCACTGGCACGATGCCCGATCATGTACATATATTCGGTTTCTATGTGTCGCATCAATGTTGTTGTTATGATGCACGGTGATCATTATAATCGTTCGCTTTATGCACGGCCATCTCATCATATTTGTCGCTTATTCACAGACTTAATAAACAACAATAAATTGTATGATCTATTTGCGACTTAAAACGAATGAGACATTTTGTCTCTCACGGTCTTTGTTGTTCACGTCGATGACGATGATGATTTCACTTTGTTTTCAGCACACGCACCAAACCAATCTCTCTCTATAATGTTTTTGTTGGATGAATATGCTGTCCCGTGCATTTTCGTGCCATAACATCAATTTCAATTCGCATTAATTGCAACGACAGAGACGAATCTGGTGCACATTTCGTGCAGAACAGAACACACGAAAAGAAAAGAAAGGCACACACAAAATGAAGTAATGCTAAAGGGACACAATTAAATCCGTTGACGAATGTTCTGAAAACATTGAAATGTACAACAAATTCGACGAACGACAGGCCAACAACAAAAAAACGAACTGCACGAAAAACATTGCCATAGTCTAGCGACTAGACGAGATTATTAATTTATGAAATTTTATTTAAAGTACTTTCACATCAGTCGTGATTTTTCATACGATATATTACGGACATTTTTTGCTACATACACACACTGCGCAGCGATGCTGAACAGTTGCTCGTCTGGTCGATATAATTCATTTTCAACGCATAAAAAAGAATGTCACGCATTCATTGCACACATTAGACGGGGAATTCGCACACTTGGTGGCACAATGCAGTCAAGATGCTTTACTAAATAAAACACATTTTTTTTGCAGAATTCTTATTATGCACTCAAATTATGATCGAAGTTAAGAAGAAAAATGAACACAACTGAAACAAAATATATTACCTTGGTTGAGAATCCACGATTGCACAACTGGCACAGATACGGTTTTTCCTTTGTGTGACTGCGATAATGAATTTCAAGAGCTGACTGACAAGCCAATGTCTTGAAACAGATATTGCACGTTGTATTACCACGAACGCCTGTCAAAATTTAAACAAAATCAATTGAAGAAAACAATAAACATTTGGTAGGTTTGTAGGCAAATTCGGGATTATTCTGCAAATTTTCGTATGAAAATGAACTTTGAATTCGTATGAAAATTTGTTTACCTGTTGAAAATCCAACTGGACTAAACGAGTTCGCAGCTAATAATGAATTAATATTGCCGCTAAGAAGTGAAGGCGAAGGCGACGACAATGGAACTGAAGCCGATGTAAAAATTGGTGAAAATTTTGTGAAAAAATCCATTCCTCTCGGTGTGTCAGCTTTCGGGTTTTTCTCGGTATCGCTGCATCGTCGTTTTGGTTCCGGTGAGCCGTCATAACTCAAGTTCTTCCGTAGATGTTCAATTTCTTTTTCATAATCTGGTGCCGTTCGTTTCGTTCGACTCTTTGAATCTTCCGAGTCTGATAAATCGATTACTTTCGGTATTTTACTTCGAATTTCCGATTCATTTTTGGACTGTGTTTCAAAGTCCAGTGAATTGTCTCTGGTTTCATTGTAATCGCCCAATGATGAATTCGATCCATAAAGATCGGTTAGTGAATCGTGTGACACAAAGTCCCGTACTTCGGCGGCTCGAATTTGATCGATGGTCATATCAATTGGAGCTCCCGTATGCGTATTTATGTGTTGCTGTAGCACATGAGCTGTTGAATATTTTTTGCTACACATTGTACAATTGTGCACTGGATTCAAAAGTGGGTTAATCTTATGAACTCCGATATGCGTTTTTAGATTGCCTTTTGTAGTGAATGACCGGGCACAGAGTCGACATCGAAACGGTCTTTCACCCGTATGCGTTCGATAGTGTTGTCGCAAAGCACTTCGACACGACAACAATCGATTACAAATCGGACATTTGTTCGGATCAACCCGATAAGCTTCGTCTTGTTGCAGTTCATACGCTTTTGGTGTGTCAACAATTTCCATATATTTTTCCCACGCTTTTTTCTTTGTTGACGAATACTCTAGGTCGAAACTCAAAAAATGACGTGGTGTATCATCATCAAATCGATTTGGTGACTCAGAAGCTTGCGAACATTTTGTCTCATTCAAATCATAGTCTTCCTTTTCCACCTTTTTCTGCGGTAAATCGAATGTTTCGTCTGAAAGTGATTTTGATTTTATTTGTGATACATATGAAGGCGCTCGTATATCTTTCTTTAAATCGTCTGTGAAATCCATTGTTTCGGCATGCCGTTGATAATGAACTTTTAAATTGCCTTTTGTAGTAAAACGGCTTCCACAAACTCTACACACGAATGGCCGTTCGCCTGTGTGCGAACGAAGATGTATTTGTAGCGCTGAATCGGACCCAAAAATCTTACCACAATAACGACATCGATGCTTTAAAGCTGGATCGGTTGGGCCATCGTTAAAGAAAGCACCAGTTCGATATGAAAGCTCATCGATTAGATTGCCGGTTGTAAAGCTTTGTGATGCTGAATCTAATACTTCTTCGGCACGTTTTTGTAGAAGTTGCAGTGAATTTGTTTCATTTGATGGTACATTTGTGTCATGATTTGTGATTATATTCGAAGCAAGTGTCGAACTTATATTACACGTCTGTGATGTTGGTTCGAGCTCGGATTTAATATTTTCTTCGGTTTTTGATTCGATTTTTGATTCTAATTCTTCATCTTGTACTTCTTCTGTTTCTTTGTTCTTTTCACTTATTGCAGCTGTATCACTGTATTTATATATCAAAAATTAATTTTAAATTTAGTCTTTCAAATATGCAATTTTTTTATAATTTTTATTCGGAAACATTTCGCGGAATGCAATTTTCAAATGAAGAAAATAATTTTAAAAAAGCTTACCCATCAATCGAACTTTTGCAAAAAACGTCATCTTGGTGCTCGCTACTATTCTCATCTTTATTTTGTATTGGCTCTGAGAATGTGACGCGTTTTTTGTCATTTCTCGCATTTGCTTTGGCCAGTTGAAATTGCAGTTGTTCGATTAATTGCATTTGAAAAACTTGTTGATGTTGCAATGTAAACAATGCTGATTGTAGCATTGTCAAATCTTTGATTGAATTTTCATTTGCTCCTTTCGATAGTGCGGCCATTGCAAATTCTGCCATGGCAACTTTTGTATTTTCCAACGCTTCGAGGGTGAGATGCTCCTGTGCAACGTTTTCGGAATCTGATTTTCTCGAATTTTGATCGATATTCTCGTTGTTATTGGCACTGTCTTGGCATTTTTCATTTTCATCGGTTTTATTTTCATTCGTTTCGCAACAAACTCTACCTTTCTCATTTTTACCAACGTGTGGGTCTAAAGTATGTTTCGACGAATCCTCGCTTCCGTCGTATGCTTGATCTGAAAATTAAAATAAAACAACTCATTAATTCTGAACTTTACATACAATTCAAAAAAAAAGTGTACCCTTCATTATTTGATTAATTTTTATAAAAGAACATTTGAAACGAAGAAAATTACACAAATCGAAGTAGAAAGAGAAAATATAACTCGAACTGCTGATGCAAACGTTCGAATGGAAACTATAATAAAAGTGCTGTGACATCAATCATTTTATCAACATTCGATGCATAACAAGTTTTTTTCTTTCGTCGTCGCTTTCATTGCATAAATGGATCGCGCACAGTCACAACGCTTGATGCGAAGCTGTTGTAAAACTTGTTGTTGTTGAATGTATGTGAAAAATGGAAAATTGTTTACGTATGAATGAAGTGCGAGTAGTAAATTCTTTGCTGGAATGTCCTCGACTCCGAAGCTTGATTGAATCAACAAGAGAAATAAATTAAATTGACTGGCCAATGGATAGAGTAAAAGAGACGGATAGAGACAGAACGATGGAGATAGAGAGAAACCGAATTGAACGATGCGTAATCGAATGGATAACAATAGACGCACTTGGCTAGAAGATTTCAATAAGAGGAGGAAATGGAAAAAAAAGCAATATTAAAATAGTTGAACAAAGACCTTTCAATCATCGCCTTGACTGCATCTCTCTCATCAACATTGTCATCACTATGTATTTTTTTTTATGTATAAAGCAATTGAAAATTCTACGACATTCAATCATTATACTTTTAATAGATGAGATGTGAGGCGGTCGACGATTTATATGCTGGCAGATTGAAACACTTTGCGTAAATAGTGAATGTGTTGCAATTCAGATGGAATGACGAGTTGCTGTAGGGATTTGCGTTTTTGCGCAGCATCGCATCCGAGAAAGAGAAAAAGAGAGATACCAAACATGACCACAAATATGTATTTTATCAGCGCTATGTTTTGATGATATGTACACGTATAAATATATAAAATGCATTGTGCGACGATATGGCGGCAGTGGTTTATGTTCAGACGTGTGTATTCTCTCAGTTTCTATCTCTCTCTATCTCCCTCCATTCTCTCTCTATCCCACCTATGTATGCTGTATGTGTCTGTTTGTCCAACATAAATAGATGAGATTGGGAATCTCTTGAACTCTCTTGGGCGCATGTATGTGTTGTGTATATGCAAATGCAGACGCAATATTATTCAATTAAATTATAAGCGAATTGAAAAAAAATATATACATCCACACACCGGCAATTGGTCGTCGTCGTCGTCATTCATGGTGGCGGCGGCGGCACCAACAACCATCATATCTAACAAGAATACATACAAACAAATATCGGATCGATACAAATATATTAATGACGTTCATTGGTAGATTTTCATTGTTTTATTCAATTCTGACCGATGCATTTTTCCTTCGGGCCATTTTTCTACGGTTGCATTTTTTTCTTCCTGTTATCTTTTATATTCCACAACAATTTTATTTTTCAATATGAACGGAAAGAGGCGACTGCAGAAAAAAAAAATCACCATTAAATCCATATGAATGCAATCCGATAATAACGAACACATGCAAATTTGCAAAGTTTGCACTGAAAACAATGTGTAATTTACTCGGTGTGTGTGTGTTTTTTTTTTGCGCTTCTTGTTGCATAAAATTAAATTTTCAATTGTGAATATGCTTTATAAAATGCATTCAATCGCGAGCATTTTTATACGATGCAGTCTGTCTGCCACTATTTTTTTTTCTCGGAAATTTATTTCGATGATGAAGAATGCAAAAGAAATTAACATTTTTTTATACAATTCATGTTGATACAAAAACGAAAAAAAAAATTTATACAAGCAATGAAAAACGCAATGAATTGTAAATATTAAATTTATGCAATGAAACGCAATGTTAAACGAATAAAAAAGAGATGCGTTTGAATCCTGTTTGCATGCATACACATCGGAACAGCGTTCGGGCGGAGCGTTATTGCATATCGTTGTTGTACGATTTTATTGATGTTCGATACACGCATGAATTCTTCGTATTATTTTGATTTAATATTCATAAGAATCTCGTACATGGTGCAACGCATGCAATGTGTAAAATATAAGCCAAATTGGCATGATTCTCATCGCGAAATGAGGCGGAGCCACAGATTTCGTTGTTCACAATAAATCATATTCGAAAGTATTCGATTGTTTTAATATCACTCATTTTATTTCGCCTTTTTAAAAATTCTTTTAATTTTTGTTGTACTTTTAAGTTCTCTTAAAATTGCGACTGCTTTTTTTTACATATATAAATTTCATTTCATTGTCCATCACCGCTTATTCGTTCAATCTGAAAGGTGCTGTGATAGTAAATAAAAATTTTGATAATTTTAATGGCATGAGAACTTTCCATCGTTTAATAAATACTGGTATTTTGATGTATTTCTTTTTGTTTCGTAAGAAAATATTGATCATTAAATAAAGTCATCAATTCAGCCGATCGAACCAAAAACTGATCTCTTGGGCCAAGCAACCGATTGAGCGCACGAAATGAAAATGAAAAGCAAACGACTGATAATCAACGATCTTTTAATGACTTTGAAATGCCTGACTTGAAAATAAAAATTAAATTAAGTGCAACCATATTAATTGCACATGCGCCAGTTCAGATTACTTATTATATTGGATGTTATTATATTGAACAAAGTCAAGACTGAGAGAGGAAGAGCGAGCGAGAGAGAGAGAAATGGTGTGTGTACGCGTTCAGACACGAAAAATTAATGACGCTCCGGTCGCCGGTGTATATGTCGATTCGAGACACGACGCACGATCACGTTGAATAAACAAAGTCCAGTGTAGTTATTGCTTTCACATGGTCGATGCTGTGTATCCAAATGCTTTGCGTATTTATGAGTTATAAAATCATAAAAAATTAAATCATAAAATCCAAAAACAAAAAGAAAAATCGAAAATATGAATGGCCTGCAGAGTTGCACCACCACACCAGCAAAGTGTCTACATACACGACGTCTACGTTACACGAAAATATTGATCCGCTATCATCATCCACTGTTTATATTTTAAGTTGATGCGAATGATTCACTGTATTTTAATGCCATCTCTCAAATTGAGCCGTTTTTAAACAATAAAAATCTCACAGTTTCAACACACAATGTCTCTCTCTGTGGCGCCAAAAAGTTACCAAGTTATAAAATACCTCATGTTTACACTTTATTGTTTATCATCATTAGTATGCTCTGGATTTCATTTTTCGTTCGTCTTTTTTTTCGACGGAAAACGTCACGTCAAAAAAGTCCTTGAAACAAAAAATTCGTAATAATTTTTTTTTGCTCAACTTAAAATCATTAACCATCAATTGATTTAGAATTCTGAAATTAAATTCAATTCATTTGAAAGTACACTTTGATCGTCCTTGATTAAGCTGATGATTAAGACTTCAAGACTCGAGAACATTCATTTGAGCAATGAGTCGAGCATAGCTTAATTGGCAAAAATGATTTAAATTGACCGTTTTCTTGTTCATAATATTTGCGATTATTTTATTTTTTTTTTTTTTCATTATTATTGTACGAGAGTTTCTTCAGAAGCGAACATAATAATTATGCAATAACCGTGCTTTTTTATTGTCTATATACGCTCGCACGGTAGGGCCGGAAGGTATGATGCCAAGATTCAAGTAAAATATAATTATATTTTATGTTTATTATAACAAAAACCATGTTTCGCTTCAATAATAAAAATTCAAGCTTTCAAAAATTCCTGCCAGGTTTTTTTTTCGTTAGCAGTTTCCACGTTCACAAAACCATTGACCATTTTTTGAATGACGAATCGGCGAATTTTTGCATTCAATATACAAAAAGTATTTCAATCGAATCAACTCGCCAAACTGATCGATCGATTTGTGTTTGTCTATAAATGTCATGAAAAACAAAACATTGTACGATTGATCAATAAAGAGAATAATCGCCGAGTGAAATAAACGGAAATTATTGCAATTTGCATGAAAGAAAGAGAAATGATTGTGTTGAATATAAGAATAATATTGTGATTTGTAATATGTGATGTGCTGAAATGTCGATCATAAAATTGACGTTAACAATGCATTAACACTATTCCGGTGGAAAATATTTCTTCAATAAAAAGCGATTTAAGGCGGCATAATTTAATCGGTGCACGGTCTATGCCGCGTTTGTGTCTTCAATGCATACATTACATTTTAGTCTTGGTCAAGCGAATGTGATGCATATTCCGTGCACGAAGTGCTTCTATTGATACACGGTAATATGTGTGTACGCGATGTCGTTTGGTTTTGGCGAAGCCACGGCAATGCATACAAACACACGGGACCCATATAACCGATATTATACATTTTCCAATGACGACGGTGTATACAATGCTCATTTTGTTCTTATGTGCGATTAAATGTGATTAGTCGTTACTAATGGGACATTATCGATTTTATAGGCAGAACATCAGCGCACAAGAAACCGAAAACCTATGCGAATAAAATAAAGCCCATAACATTTACATTAAGGTTTCAGTTGCAAATACGGCATACATATTCGAAATTGAATTGCATGTTGTTGCTGCTGCTGTTGTTGTTGTTGCGATGCAATTGTTTGTGCCTCAATTTACGATGCCATTTGAATCCAATGCAGATTTGACTATGATTATTTTACTTCTGTGCATCGTTTTCGGTTAACATACCGTGCGTGCGTGTAAGTGTGTGTTTTAGACTTTTTCGTGGTCAAAAACCGAAATAATTTCAATCGCTCACACTCTTATTTGTATTCTAATGGTGAAACATTAGATTGAAAAAGTCGCATTTGTATTCCATGTGTTATATTTCATTAAACCTTGTCCAATGTCGAGACTCAAAATTTCATTGAATTAATATCATATCATTAAAATATATGGAATGTCAATAATAACATTAAAAAAAAATCATTTTTTTGTGTTTTTTCATGAGCCCGATGTGAATCAAATGTGGAAAAAGACGACAACGATGTCGA